TTAATTTATATTAACTACAAGAAATTACAATACAATTATAGTTAAAGATAAAATAAGCTTTTACTATGAATTGGATTATAACACCTATTTTACTTGCACTAACCAGCACTGTAAAAATGTCATGCCAAAACAAAAAGGCTCACCTGTCAATCTCTGTGTCCCAATGTGAAGTGAAGGTTAATTGCTCAGGTGTAACATGCAGAGCCAATTGTTTGCCAATCAACCAATCAGAAATCAGCATAACTGATCACATGATAAACAATTGCTAGTGTCATGACCTGACATGACACAACCTTGAACTATGAGCCTTGACTGACAACCTTGACCTTGCCCAGAGCTAAATATATACAGTGATCTCAGAACACCTGCATTTCTCTTGAAATGTTACCTTTGTCATCAATACAATTGATGAACTCTTTCACCACAAATAAACTAAATAACCTATAAAATACTACCACCTAAAACCTTTTTTTTATGAACTATTATTTTAAAATTTTTATTTGCATTTTATGACATATTAAAATGACCTCACCCGCAACATAATGACATTGCTAAAAATACAACTGGGACATTGATGCATTTTAATTTTAAATCAACCATATGAAATGCCAGGGGATCAAACCCTGAAATTTCATCACTGCTACAAAAGCGAGTCTTATACCGCTACTCAGCTTGTATCCATGTCGGCTCTACTGGCATTTTGTAGCACATACACCATCAACAAAACCCAAATCCCTGAGTACATCAGGGTACTAAAACACTTTGGTCATACAATACAAGGAGAGGACGCACCTGTAGCATCTCCTTCAAATAATAATCCAATGCCGAGTACCAGTACTGGTTTAACTGGTACTCGGTATAATTACAAACACAACTCAGTCAGGGCTACACTAACTAACACTGAACCCACACTTTCAGGGTTTAAGATATATTTAACCAATATTCTTAAAAAAGCAGGGCGTAATGCTGGTGACACATATGTCGCCGCTTTTGTAAGTTTTTCTATAATATCCAAAAACATGCATTCCCAAATAGTAATATGGCTTGACAACCGCCGCCCATTTCCGTTGCTCAAAAGGGGTACACGGATCCTGCAACCAGACAGGAGGTGAGGGACATCCTGGATCGGCCCAAGGCAGATCGACAATCCGATGATGATCAGCGCGTGGTGATGCGGTACCTGTCTTGTGGGATAATTCAACTTGGTCACTCCCAAAGACCTTCAGTGGCATCCTGTATCAAGTTGGCTGACTTTGATAAGGCACGATCTGTTGCCGGCAGCATAACCTTGTGGTCAGCATAACCTTGTGCAAAGAGGAGTACAACATGTTCAGGGATTACCGCCGGTATGTACGTGGTGACATGCCTGAAGATGTCCAGCTGGAAAAGTCACCTTTCTTCAGAAAAGTGGACGGTACCGAAGTGGAAAACATGTCCCTCGAGTTGGCCCGCTTCCAGAGCTCAAGAGGTTTCTTTAAAACCAACGAGGGAAATAAACGTAGGACATTTACAGCCACGGATGTTCGAAAAGCTTTGGAGACTGAAGTGGCAAGGCAGCATCCTAATGATGCTGCAAAACGTAAGATGGCCAGTGACTATCTTGCTCATGGCCAAAAAACTACGTAAAAACTATGCTTAAAACACCCTTACAGGCTGCTAGTGAATGCATTTGTAGAGGGTGTCATCAAGCAAGCAGCTAGTACATCACACGTTCAGGAACCTGTCTCGGCGTCAATTCCAACAGATTCCTCCACCCAGCCCCAGCCTCAACCCCAGCCCCAACCCCAACCCCAACCCCAACCCCTGAAGGTAGGGCGAAGAAAAGGCAAAAGTAAAGGCAAAGGAAAACTCATCAAGCCCAAAAGGTGAGAAATTAGGTGGATAGGGGAAAGGTAAAAGTAAGGTAAAGGTAAAAGGGAAACAAGATCAAACCAGGATCAACTATAGGATAGAAGTAATAGGATATAACCTGTAATTCCATAACCTAATGTCAGTTTTGACCCATTAGGTTTATACAACAGTAGTAAAGGGGTTCGCTGTTCGAACTTGGTGTTGTGGGAATGGTGCAGGAAAATGAAAATGGCACTCTTAAAAGAGCAACCTCCACGTCATGAGTGCTGGTTAATACGAATAGCTCTTTAATGTTTCTTTGGGATGGTTCCTACGAGCTATAGATCACCATTGTGCAACTTATTTCATATGTAGACGCACGTGTATTTCGTAATATTTATCATTCATTTATACGATTATTTATTTATATATATATATATATTTAAAAGTCTTTTTCATCTATAATTTCTATATCCATGGTTCGACTTAAATATCTATAATGCATATGAAAGCCCTTTCAAATTTGTTTTTAACAACGTATAAACACGTACATGTGCGACATTTCGCAAAGCTGCAAACGTCTGTACATAATGTCGCATCTGATGTGCGTCGCCGACGCTATCAGCGCATGTTTCGTTCGGTAATTATTTCTATACCTGTTGTTGGATCCTTGACATCTATAATGCACTTCTAACGACGTATACCATGCACATTTGTGACGTTGTGCAAAGATAGACATGTCCTAATATAATGCCGCCGCCAATGATGTTACCGTTTCTAGTACACCGACATAAATTTATATCATTTGTTCTTCAAGTGCCTACTTCTGAAGTTGATGAACTCGACCATGATTTGCATAACAAGTAGAAAAAGTGAGTTGAATATAATATTGCAAACATGCGAACACACCTCGGCAAGTGCCTCTTATACAAGGGATTATTCAATGGGGCCGTCAAGTTAAGCTTCACCAATACAGAGGAGAAGGGTTCAAACCTAGGCTGCTGCCTGAACTTTGATATTTTTAAATAAAATCAAATCGACATCTGGTCACATGACAGAAGGCCTCCGCGTTTTCACCAGGACAGTTTGCAATGGCAGAAAACAGAAACAAAGAAACTCACATGTATGTCCTACTGAGTTGAAAATGTTTAATTGTTAAATTTGAAAATCTGCATATTTGTACAGTTTGAAAGTACCGGGTTATGCGACAGTGTTGACCCGAATGTTCTGGATGCTTACAATGTTGAATGCCCATCATTTATATTTGTAGAGCAACCAAACACCACTGTGAGAGTGATTACGACATTTGTTCTGGGTATATGCAGGCCAAGACAATAGGTACTTCCATTTCACTTTTAAAAAAATCATGCATATTCTCGGCAGTTATTACATATAGATTGTAAACGAACATTTAACTTTAGCCCTATGCTAATTATTCGGCTTAAGGACAACGCCTGTTTAAAGTAAGGAACATTTAAAAGATAATATTCATGAACAAATCACAAGTCTTGTTTTTTACCTCCAGTTCCAAGTCGGATCATAACGGCACCCCGTCGTTCAGACCAAATTGAAAACAAACATAAGGGTAACCAGTTGTAAATAGAGCAGTGTAAATGCCTCTTATTCACGTTATATTGACATATCCTACAAGTGGGTCTTGCACTTAATAGTAATCACGGTTTCCTTATTTTTAACCAAATTGCTTTCTTGACAGCGACTTCCCATAGTCCAATTTTACTTTATATATTTCAGGTCAGACTTATCCTTGGGAATTCCCTTTCCCAGGGGATTGGAGGAAGTATTCCCAACTACGACGTGATTGCACACATAAAGAAATTAATTTATTAGAAAATATATATATTTTTAAAATTATGACGCTTTTTTATTACATGTAGGTACACACAATATTTCAATTTCGTAACATCTTTAAATCGCTGAACCCTGGTGCTGTGGCAATAGGTTGTGATATCATTCCACGTACACGGAGTGGTAATCAGTGCGAAAGAGGCACGGCTCTTGGATGTAAAAATGTGTGCACATCTAGAAGATTTATATTTGGGAATGGGCGAACCAAGGCAGTATTGACATTGTTCGGACGGATAACACCTTAATAAAATGGAAATATCTGCTTGGTCAAATGGTTTTTTCAGCTTTGTCACACGTCTGTAAATAAACAGCTTTCTCAGTTCACCCTTAGCTGGATTTATCTATTCAGCATTCTATACGATAGTTTAATAAACCGTGTTTTCAGCTGATTTTCCACTGTTGATCGGATCCATGTTCTTTGTAATTTGAAAGATTCCAAAGTTGTCTTTGTTCCACATAAGTAATCTGAATAAAACGGTTATGATTTTCAATTGTTGCTCTTAGTATTTTTAATTTGCTTTTCCCACTACTACTACTACTACTACTACTACTACTACTACTACTACTACTACTACTACTACTACTACTACTACAACTACCACTGCTTCAAGTAAGATGTGCAATGCTGCTCCAACAGCCATGTTATACTGTTGGAAGTGTCCTCAAAAGAATGATCATGTGTTTAAGAACTGTCCATTGGCGGTGTGTGGAAATAGGTGTGGGGGACAGGGGCACTGGGGAAAATATTGCCCCATGCCGTGCACCGTTTGCCAACAGAGTGGCCATTACAGGAGGACCTGCCTGTCCTTTAACATGGCCTCCTCCTCTGTAATGACCACCCCACCTTCCGCGACGTCCACGACTGCCACGACTCCTACACCGACTACTCCTTCTTATGGTCGTTGTTATAGGTGTGGGGACTCTGGTCACTGGCAGACATGGGTTCAATTACTTTGAAATGTAATTAATTAAATTACAATTACTTTGATTTTCCTCAATTACAATTACAATTACAATTACACATTAAATCAAAATGTAATTAATTAAATTACAATTACATTACCAATGTAATTAATTACAATTACAAATTACTTTTTGATAAAACACACACAACAAAACAGATATATTTCTGTATTTCTTTAATGAACAAGATATAGATGTTTGCAAGCAGTGGTCACTAAATCCAATTCACACTTTTGTCACCAAAAAGTGAAATGCAAAATTAGGATTGTGTGTTAGATAAACATAAAACAGGTTTCATTCTAGGTTGGGTTTTATTCATGTGTCCATTGTGTCCATTGTCATTAGTTAGGCTTGACACAGATTTTCTTCAGGATATGTCCATTGGACTTGATCATCATCAATGTCTGAAAGGTTGTGCTGTTCAGCCTGCATCTCTCAGGCCTGAATGTCTTCCCTGCAACACTGAATAGCCTCTCAACTGGTGCTGACGATGCAGGTATAGCCAGGTATTTCTTGGCAGGTTCGCTAAGGATAGGGAACACATTCTTCTGCTCCTTCCAAAAATGCAGGGGGTTGCAGTCTTCCTCGCTGGTTGGCTGTCCAGATATTCCTTGACCTCCTGCTCTGCAGGCACTGATGGCCTGACTATTGGTTGGCTCTTCATGTAGCTGAACAGTTTGGCTCTCTTCTTGGTGGTGACTGCATATCAGCTTCTTCATTGGAGACGGTTCTAGGAGATGAAGTCTGTACTTTTGAAATCAGTCTATTTGTGACTCTTTTGGTTTCCTCTTGACTACTGCACCAGTTCAACTTGAACCTTGGGTCTAGGGTGGTAGCCATCACATACCCATTGTTTGATTCGTAAGGGGAAAGTCTCTTGATGACAGAAGCTCTTAAGGCGGCAACCAACTTGTAGTTGTATTTTGATGTCATACTTTCAGTCTGAGATTTTAATCCTTTCACACATGGCACAACAAGACTCTCGCTGTAACAATGTTCTGTCCCTGCACAAGATCTGTGGCCTCTGCAAATGGTGTCAGAATGTCGGCAATGTCAGCCAAAAATGTTTCTCTCATATTTCTTGAGACTTTGAGGCATGTACTTTTTCTAGTTTCTCCTCTGGGACATCCAGGATGGATTTTATCATCCGTAACTGTGAATTCCATCTTGTCTGTGTTGAATTTTGGAATTTTCTTTCATCCGCAAGGATCTCAGAGGCAAGAATTGATCTCCTCACATGGGACACAATATTAGATGCCTTGGCAATGATTTTGTTGATCTGCCCACCTTCTCTGAGTCCATCGTGTACAGTCAGCTATAAGGTATGGGCGAAGCAGCTCTGATGCTCTGGAATGTAGTCATAAGCATTTGATGTGTCCACCTTGTCTTCTGACATGCTTTCTTCTTCACTGTCGCTCTCATCTTCCTCCTGGTCTCTTTCATCTCGACTTCCTTCCACAAAACCTGGCAGGTCGACTCTGAAGGCTTTCTTCATGTTGCTAGCATTGTCCGTTACAATGTTTGTAATCTTACTGCTTAGGTTGAAGGTAGCAATTGTTTCTTCATAATGCTGTAGGATATTCTCAGCTGTGTGTCGGCCTGTAAACTGCTTACACCCGTGTGTGACGGACTCCAAGTGCCAGTAACTGATGTAGTGTCCAGTTATTCCTATGAATCCTCTCATTTGTCGACTTGACCACAGATCAATTGTCACACACACACTCTCAGTTTTCTCAAAGTCCTGTTTCATGGCTAGAATTATTTCTTCACATTTCTTGGTGATGAGACTTGAAGTTAAATGTTTCCGAGATGGAATGACAAACCTTGGTTCCATGCAGTGAAGGAGGTCTCTAAAGTAGGAGTTTTCTACAATGGACAGTGGCATGAGAGATCGATCGATGAACATCGTGAGACTGTCTGTGATCTTCTGTTGTCGGCTGTCACTTGAAGAAAACTTCTTCTGTTCTGTCTCCACGAAGGTGTCCAAGCTGGGTTGTTCATCAGTCAGCTTCCCCTTCTTGTCCTTCAGGCCAGTCAGGACATGTGCATGCCGTCTCTGAAACACATCATTATAAGAAACATGAGTAACAGCATGAAGTAACATTGCAAAATGCTTAAGTTGAAATATTAGATTATATCTACAATGTACACTATTTGACCAGGTTTTTGTTTTGCATATTTCTTTGGGCTTAATATCAAATACACACCTCTGTCATCACGTGTTGCAGGTATACTGTATCATGACTCATCATTACAGGCCTACATAACAATATAAAATATGCCGGTCTCTCTGTCTGACATAAGCCACATTGACGTATACTAAAGGATTTGTTAACTTAGATTTATCGCTTATTACATTTCATGATTATAAAAATAGGACTACAGTTCAGTAAGATTTTGAATAGCATATATCATGAGAAATAAACAAAGAGGCCATTTTGATTGGAACTTGACAAATAGTACAGTTAATCCCCCATTTCCTCAAATACTAACCTACATTCAGTCATGCGTTACTGATTCCCTTTGTTTCACAAATGTGCAGATGGTGATAGTTACATGCCATTCACATGGCTTGAGTTAACAGCAGTTGTTTTATATCTAAATATTGATCAGGAATTTATTTCAGACAAGTTTGAACCAAGTAAAATCTAGCTATGTGACTGATGTTTAATATTTTCTATTGCCTTTTGCATACATTTCTCATGTAAATGATGGAAGAAGTGTTTATTAGAACATTTTAGATTTATAGAAATTGCACATGAATTGTGAAATTAAAATAATAGCAAAGCACTTACCTGCAGATGAGTCAGGAAGTTGGAAGTAGCTTTAAGGGATCCAGATATGAAAGAACCACATGTCTTGCACTTGGCTTTAAAAGTCTGAGAAGGGATACCATCAACAGGAAATTCGAAAGCCTCCCTAACTACACTCTGTTTACTTGACATGGTAAACTGTTTAAAGGGAAAACTCAACTCTGTGACAAACCACCAGCAGAAACTATAATGATGTTTAACTAATAAAATTAGTGTAGCAAATGCCTGTGATCCAAGCTTGGAATATAACAGGGTCATTTGTGTGACAATGAGTGCAGTTAACAGCTCAAAATAACAAAGGGTGTTTATCTAATGTTCAAAGCCAGTGCGGATACCTCGATATACAAACTGCTGTCAAAACAATGTCTTGTTCTAAAACTTCAAAGGCTTAGACATTCAAATCTCTTTCAAAACTTAACACCTGCTAGAGTATATACTGGCAACAAGCATCTAATCCAAACACAAGTTTATCTTCCTTATTGTACAGAATATAATTGCATAGGTTGCCTGGTGACCACCAAAATAAGAAAAAGTGAAATGTAATTTGATGTAATTGAAAAAGTAATTGAAAACTTCAATTACATTGAGATATTAATTAATTAAATTACAATTACAAATTACATTTTGAACATTCAATTACAAATTACATGCAATTACATAGATTTTTGTAATTAATTACATTCAATTACAATTACAAATTACAATTACCCCATGTCTGGTCACTGGTCCCCCCAATGTCCGACGGCCACATGCTACAAGTGTGGAGGGAGTGGCCACTATGCCCGGTCATGCACGGGTGATGTCACCCCCACCTCTAAGAAGGTCAAGACTGAACCAACACCTACGACAGATGACTGGGCCAACGAGGATGTGATGGTGATTCCCGTAGAGAGGTGTGCCAAATGTGTAGTGAAGACAGCTGATGCTGCCACACAGACTACGGGGTAGGTAATGTCGAGCTTACAATACAGAAACATTGCCGGACTGTCTCGTAGTGTGGATGGGGGTGAAAGGGGTGGGACCTTGGGGGTGGCTACCCCTATTGTGAGGAGCATGCCAACAGAGGTGGAAGAAGACGAGGAAGATGGAGCCCTCCCCTTTGCCCGACCGTCCGACATCGGTACACTCCCCCCTCTTCATCGACGACGATGAAGAGGAAGGAGAACATGCCCAGCGGCTGTCGTTGGACGACGACGACGACGACAACGATGAAGGGATTTTCGCTAATTTTGAGGCCTCACATAACCGTCGCCCCTCAGACAATACAGTGACAGTGGCTGCGGAAGTACACAGGAACGGCGAGACACCTACTCGCTGTATCCGTGTGCGCAACCGCAGAGGCAGACTAATTTTGTGAAATGCATGACCAAATTGTATATATATATATATATAGTGTTATATGTTGTATATACCTGTATTAAATTTTTTTGATTTAGTTGGTGCTGATTCGCGAATTGTGGGAGTGCGGAAAGGTAGAAGTGAGCATTATGTCACACGTGTGCGCGCGCGCACACACACGCACACACACACACGTACTTGCACGCACACGTACTAGATGACCATTCCCCTATTTGTGACGATTCAATGACCACGTGACGTCAATACCGTCGTTGTAGGTCGTGACGTCAGTGTGGCAGTATATTTTCGCGGTTGCGTCACCATCAAGTGACGTCACTACCTTCGTTTGTAGGTCGTGACGTCATAAGTGTATGACGTCAGTGTGGCTTCATATTTTCGAGGTTGCGTCACCTCGGAAATGTGCTGTCACCATACTACTTTGTGCAGAAGGAACTTACTCACTTCTTGCATGCTCTTTGACATCTCAAGTTTACACAGGTTGGGGGAACCTACCGATCGATAATATTCCGTTCGGCCTATTATAGGCCAGCTATAATAATGTATCACAAAAGCCGCCTCTATTGTCACTTAATTAGCTGTATATCACATTCTATATATCACATCTACGTATCATTGTTTTTATAACGTCTGTTAAATCTGTCCTCATGGATTGGTTGTATATACATGCACATCTCTAGCTTCCTGTAAATCCAATTATCACTTCATTAGCTGTATATCACTCTGCTGTGTTATCTGCTTAGTCTGAGGCGTGGCAGGTAATTGCCGGAGATGTACCACTAATCAGCAAATTTAATTTCGTCACCTGTTTTGCTCACGTTTGGTTAATATCTCTTTGCCTGGGCCATCTCCTTTTGATAAGCAGCTTTGTGATTTCAACCTTGTGCATAGAATGCTTGTTTTTTCTTTGGCATGGGCAATTCACACCTTTTGGCATGTCCTAGCCCCTCCAAATGGACGTCATGCATAGAATGGAGATGGGCAATTCACAATTTCCTCCTCACCCTTAAAAACATCCGACTTGGTCACATGACAGTGAGCTTCATCTAAATCATTCCATTGGCTATCTGTCTGGGACGTGGTAATATAAGTGAATGCTCACAATATCATCATCACAGACCGAGTCTCTTAGTGGATGATTACCAGTCGGCGTTGACGATCCCTATTGGCAAGTGAACTTTACTTTTATTACCTTTTGCTTGTTTTTAATCCATCAATCCATACTAACATTTGTATAGCGCTGATATCCAGCTCAGTTAAGCTGCTCAAAGGCGCTTAGTTTTTTCCCTCGTTCACTGGATGTCAATCTCAACGGAACATCGTATTGTCAATCTCAACTCCCTGGGGGAGCATACAACTATTGCAGCCACTAGGGCGCACCGAGATAATGTAGCATTCCCATCCTTTAACAAGTCATCTACGCTGCTCAATATATCAAACTAATACATAGCATAAATACGGTATAATATGATAAAATATCCAAGTACAAAACTGACATCCAGGCCCTTTTCGGTAGCTCCCAGAAACATAGTACAGTGAATTTGTGCCAATATGCCTTCCACAAAAGTATCAGTGGTTTAAGTGCAAAACATACTACAAAGGCGTTGCGCATTTAAAAACTATTCTCCTAACAGTTCTATTGCTGCTATAAACGCCATACATGCCCAAAATCGCCGCCAAAGTGAGTCCTATACCGCTACTCAGCTTGTATCCATGTCGGCTCTATTGGCATTTTGTAGCACATACACCATCAACAAAACCCAAATCCCTGAGTACATCAGGGTACTAAAACACTTTGGTCATACAATACAAGGAGAGGACGCACCTGTAGCCTCGCCTTCAAATAATAATCCAATGCCGAGTACCAGTACTGGTTTAAAATGGGTCGACCAGAAGTGGTACTCTGTATAATTACAAACAACTCAGTCAGGGCTAATCTAACACTGGCTTATATGATAGCTTCCCTGAGAGTGAACCCACACTTTCAGGGTTGAAGCAATATTTAACCAATATTCTTAAAAAAAGCAAGGCGTTATGCTGGTGACATGTCGCCGCGTTTCTAAGTTTTTCTATAATATCCAAAAACATGCATTCCCAAATAGTAATATGGCTTGTATCAATTTTGATATATTTGAGCACGTAGATGAAATACATCATTTTAACTTGGTACTTTCGCAAAACGGGGTTTCTGCAGGTAGCATTAAAAATTACATGTCAGCAGTCAAATCCTTTCTCACCTACTGTCAAACATATGTTAAAATGTCACCCAGGGTTTTCGATAATTTGCGTAGGTGTACAAGCGCTACACATTGTTCATATACAGGTGTAAGTAGACAATATAAACGCGAAGAAGCCTATAAGTCTGTTGCAGAATTCAGAGATGAAACCAGACAACCGCCGCCCATTTCCGTTGCTCGGAAGGGGTACACGGATCCCGCAACCAGACAGGATGTGAGGGACATCCTGGATCGGGCCAAGGCAGATCGATAATCCGATGATGATCAGCGCCTGGTGATGCGGTACCTGTCTTGTGGGATAATTCAACTTGGTCATTCCCAAAGATCTCAGTGGCATCCTGTATGAAGTTGGCTGACTTTGATAAGGCACGATCTGTTGCCTGCAGGTACCAGATTTCTTTCATGGCCCACAAGACGTACACGAGCTTCCTGGTCAGCATAACCTTGTGCAAAGGAGTACAATATGTTCAGGGATTACCGCCGGTATTTACGTGGTGACATGCCTGAAGATGTCCAGCTGGAAAAGTCGCCTTTCTTCTGAAAAGTGGACGGTACCGAAGTGGAAAACATGTCCCTCGAGTTGGCCCGCTTCCCGAGCTCAAGAGGTTTCTTTAAAACCAACGAGGGAAATAAACGTAGGACATTTACAGCCACGGATGTTCGAAAAGCTTTGGAGACTGAAGTGGCAAGGCAGCATCCTAATGATGCTGCAAAACGTAAGATGGCCAGTGACTATCTTGCTCATGGCCAAAAAACAGTACGTAAAAACTATGCTTAAAAAACACCCTTACAGGCTGCTAGTGAATGCATTTGTAGAGGGTGTCATCAAGCAAGCAGCTAGTAAATCACACGTTCAGGAACCTGTCTCGACGTCAATTCCAACAGATTCCTCCACCCAGCCCCAACCCCTGAAGGTAGGGGGGGGCAAAGAAAAGACAAAAGTAAAGGCAAAGGAAAACTCATCAAGCCCAATTAGGTGGATAGTGGAAGGTAGGGGGAAGGGAAAGGTAAAAGTAACAGGGAAACATGATCAACTATATGATAGAAGTAATAGGATATAACCTGTAATTCCATAACCTAATGTCAGTTTTGACCCATTAGGTTTATGCAACAGTAGTAAAGGGGTTCGCTGTTCGAACTTACTGTTGTGGGAATTGTGCAGGAAAATGAAAATGGCACTCTTAAAGAGCAACCTCCACGTGGTGAGTGCTGGTTAATATGAATAGCTCTTTAATGTTTCTTTGGGTTGGTTCCGACGAACCAAAATCACCATTGTACAACTTATTTGATATGTAGACGTACGTGTATTTCGTAATATTTATCATTCATTTATACGATTATTTATATATACCGTTTAAAAAGGTCTTTTCTCATCTATAATTTCTATATCCATGGTTCGACTTAAATATCTATAACGCATATGAAAGCCCTTTCAAATTTGTTTCTAACAACGTATAACACTTACATGTGCGACATTTTGCAAAGCTGCAAACGTCTGTACATAATGCTGCATCTGGTGTTCGTCGCCGACGCTATCAG